ATAAGAAGTGTAAAGTTAGACTAGTGTTAGTAGCCCTTTCGGCGCGGCCGCCGGGCGTAAATAAATTGTGTGTGTACATAATCGCCTCTTATAGTCAGCTGCATATAGAGTTTGAGTCGTTCTGCTGTAAAGCGGCGTTCAGTGACATGGAATGAACCCATTCGCCAGAAAATTTTCTAGTAGTCTAGATCACATTACATAATAGTAGCCAAACTAAACGCGGGGTTTTCCAACTAATTGATTATCCGATTCACTAACGGCTTGCAGTGCGGGGTACGCACAACAGATGGAAGAGGAGTCATTAACCTCCCTCTCTGTGAGAATAACATCCCACCACGCAGAACCATGAAGATCTGGCCCACTTTAACATTGAAAAATACACAGAAATGGCTTCCAGTTCTGATTCTGCTCACACATCTCGACTGACAAGAGTCTGTGTCCGCTTAAAAGTTACTAGCCATGTTAGTGCCACAAGCTAATTGCGTATATCAGTGTATGTCGTTATGTATGACGGTTGGATTGAGGATGAGTGTTACGTACTGTTAGTTTGCTCATCAACCTAAAGTAATAAGTATTTAAAAAAGTCTACAAAATCCTCCAACCACTCTCGCACCTATTTACATTAGTATTCTCATCACAATAACCTTATGGCATTATCGATCTTAATTGCTACAATTGTCTTTGCTCTTGCGAGTCCGATTTCAGCGGGACCAGCAGGCTACGGATTGTGTCAAGCGGGTTGTTCTGCCATAGTTATGGCCTGCTACTCTGCAGCTGGGTTTACCTGGGGAGCCACTCTTGGTGCTTCCGCACCTGCTAGCATCATTGCATGCAATACTGCCTTTGGCACTTGCCAGGCTGCCTGTGCCGCTGTGCTTTTAACTCCAACTCCATAGGAGGTACGATGCTTAACGATTCTCTACCTCTAACCACTTCTACTGATTTTGAAATTGCCATTGAAGATAGGGCTAACTAACCACTTTAGTTTTTAAAGAAAAAAATTGTGGATCTCTTAATGACACAATAAGACGAAAACGATTCGTTTTCTCTTTCTGGGAAAGGCGGGTTACTTCCTAATGAAATACATCACAAATCACAGGCGCCTGCTTGGTAGAGGCGAGGAGCTAGCACACTGCACTGGCAACATCGTGTGGGGTGTATACATAGTCAAAGTTCGGGCCAAGGTGGATCTAAATTACTCATGAACCTTTTTGGTTGATGTTGTCTAAGTTTAATGAGGCTTAAATCTCTTTTCTCAGGTGTTATCGGTGAACAAGGAGGCTCTCATTTACTGTTCTAGCGGTGTTGGTGCTTAACGCTCCTAACAAAGTAACGAGCCCGCAGAGTGGATAAAAAGCATAGACTATGTGCAACTATATATATTTGTAGTTTTTCCATCGCTTTCCTGATCATCGAGTCCCTCTTTCATCGTGCTAACCGTCCAAATGACTCTTCGCGTAACCGATCCTTTTGAGTGTTTTTGCGGCTGCACCTATACATACGCACGCGACTGATCTAGAAGAATATCGAAGAGAGAGAGGGCACTTTCCCTCTCATATCTGCAGACATGGTTGCAAACATCCTCTAGTTGTCCAGCACGACTATACTATTCGCAAATGTGGCTATTACAACAAGCTCTGTGAGCGCCTGGATATTCTTGAAGACCACCACATCGCTACGGGGCACTCTTTTTGTTCGAAATGCGACCTTCCCTTTGAAAGCCAGATTGCCTGGAAAATCCACCATGAGGCAGAGCTCCATGCTTCCGAATATGAATGTTGCAACTGTGACATCTCTTTCAAAGACATCCATGCATTGAACGCACATATGGCGAGCCGTGCGCATCGGAGGCCTCTCCAGTAAAAGCCCCATGGAAATGCAAGAATGGCTAAAACAGCTACTGCGGAGAGAGTAGATGACCAGGCATGCAAGAGATGTCGGCGAACGTTTCCGTCTCTCCAGGCTCTCCAACAACATTGAGTCGATAAAGCAAAAGCCACTCAGCGCTCTGATTTGCCCTATAGGAGAGGGATGCCGAGGAAAATTTAGTGCGTCGTCAGCTCTACTGCACCATCTTGAAAACGGAAAGTGCTGTTAAGGTGTGGACCGCGATAACATCTACGACATTATTCAACTGTATGACAGAGATCATACGATCCACACCCTCCCAAAAATCACACCTTCGAGCTCTACTTACTTTTTGGCACATGATTCGTTTCCTCAAGCCAGACCGCCGATCACGTCTCTCGATAGTTCAGATGGCTGGCTACTGGTCACTCCCACGCACTCTCAGGGTAGTGTGGAGGGTAGACTAGTAGATTGGTCGCCAATCCAGGATAGCCTTTTCTCGCTTAGAAGGAGTGGCGTGATTGACAAAACTAAGCCTGAACTCCGTTGTCCGCTTTGTCCAAGGAAACGCAAAGCCTTTGGTACAATGCAGGCTCTCCAACTTTATATCTCCAGCACACTGCGATAATATTTACCACTGTCTGAGTAACCTCTTTTAAATTGGCTCTAGCAGGCCTAGAACAAAGCAAGGAAAAAGAAAGCAATTCACAATTCTTAGTGGATTAGCTCAACATTTAGAGCGGGGCATGTCATGGTGGAGCGCAGACGTTCTTACGTTGTATTGAGTTTGTCCAACAGCATCTGGAGGAATGGGGATTTGGAGGGATGCGTCCTTTGTTGCCGAGCTCCCAAGATTGAAGAAGGTGGAGTTTTCATTGCAGATCTATAGCAATAGCGAGCAAGTTGTTCCATAAACCCAAAAGTCCCTCACTCCCGCTAAGCAAACGATCTGTACCTAACGTGTTCCATTTGCAAGTGGACCACCCTACCAAACTCGATTAATAATGCATGACGTATGAAAGGTGCAGCGCCCTATTGGAAGACGCGGGTGGCCTAGCCTGTTGCATAGGAACAGCTGTGCTTCTCCATAGAACCTACAACAATTCACATCGCTCCTATAGCAATCCGATAGGCCGCTCTAGAATTACGGTTGCTTTCACAGCTCCGAGGAGCTACTCGGGCCCAATGGTTCGTTCCAAAAATTTCAAGAAATTGCCCGCGCGTTGCAACGCACGGCCAATTTTTTAAAATTTTCCATATGGAACCGTTGGGGTCGAGTAAGGTTTGCGGATTAGCTTTGACTCTGGATCTACTGACACCCATATCCTTGCCCGTTGCCACTCTGACGCTGATCGATGATCGCGCCTATCACTTAATGGCTTGGAGTGCGGGGCAAGCATGACAAATGGAAAAGACACTAACAACTACCTTACTCTTTCATCGTTAACTTCCTGTAAGTCCTATTCATGGACGTCACAGGCTAAAGATTTCAACAAGCTACTCTTATAACAGATTTGCTTGACTCGGTCGTGTTATGTATCCATGAATTCGTTTTCACCTCAATCTGCAAAGACCAGTCTATGAGAAATTCATTCGACAAGTCTACTGGATTAACTTGGATCGATGGATACGACTGACTATGGAATAAAATACGCGGTTTCTGCAGATAGAAGCCAGCCTATACCTCACACGGATGTGCAACACTCACTGTCATCGTTGTTACCGACTCTCTCTGAATACCTTAGTATTGATGAAGAATCGCAAATCCATCAGCAGTTCCTTGGAAGCCATTGGCGACCCAACAGTCAGGTCTTGTGGAGTGGCTTCTCACGTGAAGAAGTTCAACATTGGGCAGATGCACATGACCTGCAAACACTCACTACTGCTATGGGACCTCTAATGAACCTAGATGACCCGCTATGTCCGAAAGAGAAAAAATCGAAGCAGAAATGGAGTAAATATATGAAGGGTGCTTCTGTAATCTTCGCGTGGTACATTACAAAAGGAGAAAAGGTCACTGTGTTGTCACCACCGCCCCCAAGGCGATTTAATCCATCTGGGATGACCACTTATCAAGCTATTGAAGAGCCCATTCTCAGGTGGGCCATAGCCGGTGGGGCTATCTTGCGAATTGAGATGGTGCATCCTACCGTGAAGGGGGCAGAGAACTTTGCCTACGAAGTCTGGCCTGTTGATCAAACTGCTTCCTGGGTTGCAGCCTTTGGGTTGACGAATTTCCAAAAGCGTGGGTGGAGACCGACAAAATCCGATCCGTTACATGTGGCAATAAGAAAAGCTATAGAGCCTAGTGAAGGCTCTGTCGATTGGTACAAGACTGGTATCTTAACCTGAAATAAGACGTAATATGCATTGGTCAACTATAAGAAGTAGATAAAAGGTAAGCAGGTTTAATTTTGAATACTTCTTGACTGTTATAATATGAGGTTGGATGCTAATAGTAGACATAAGAGAAGCCTCAGAAATTACGAGGAAAAGTATCCGAAACTACCAACGCAAAAAAAATAACCAGCTTGGGAGATTGTGCTGGACAGAAACATCTGTATTCACCTGGAATTTGGACTACTGTTCTCGCAAATATCCCCTAGGAACTGTAGAGTGGTTGTTCCAGTACGTTCATTACGGAATCTAGTTGATTAGTATGGGGGCTGAGGGGAACTTTGAGCAAATCAGATTAGATTGAGACAGAAGATCCAAAATCCGCTGTTTGTTTCGATCAGTGAATGGAGCAGACTAAATACTTCTACTCCTGCTGGACTAGACTTGATTAGATTAGATCAGTAATTCATGTCAAGTTTCAATGCTGCAACGACGAGTCAGTTATGTAGTTAAGGTTGCGTCGACTAGATTGCAATATATTGTGGATAAGCTTGAGATTTCCCTTCATTATAGCTGGTCGCAGTGAATGAGCGCAGTTTCGAGCAGAGCAGACGCGGGCGAATGATTGCCCACAGCATGCCCCGGAATTGTGTCCCAACCGTTGCTCGTGCTCAGAAGGTTTGCTGTTGTACGTAGCCAAGCTGCCGCAGCTGGGTAGGTGCTGCCCCTCGCCATGAAGAGTACTAGAATCTTTCATTCGCTGCATAGGGCAGATTTAGCTAAGCGCTACAAGAACACTACTCCAAGAGAGTGTGTTACAGTACCAGATACACCTTGCACTTATCTCTCATTCAGTACCGCTTGTTTTCTAATCGTTTCCATTGCCCATTTGATCACAAACCCGCTAAAATCATACCATGTAAAGTTTTAACATGATGCAAATTTCCTGTCATTCATAAAGAACGTCTATTTCTTTAGTATCCATTATGTAGTCCTCTATCTAGAAAATATTTCACGAATTTTGCAGCTACTATAATTCCGTTTGCAGTTGATTCTCGTCACTTTCGATATCGTCCTCGTCAACGACTATAGTGCCTCCAGCATTCCGAGCATGCTCGTCGCATGTGAATGTGTCCTTGATTTCTGCTGCCGCATCCGGAAGGTGGAGTCTGAACTCCGTGGTGATGGAATCAATCAACCCTTGGCCTGCGGCCGAAGATATTTTGTTCTGCTGCTGCGCGATGGTTGTCTGCAGCATCAGCTCTAGCTGACGGACCCTACGTTCTGCTTCTTGCTTCATCACTTCCATACTATGGTCCATATTCTTGGCCCACGTATTCACCCTTGAATGTATGGTTTGCAATCGATTTCTGCACTCGTCGTCTTGCAAGATTTCGGCTAGTGTATGTGCGGAGTGGACTTGCTTCAGCAATTGAACAGAGGTAAGATGTAGGCGATGAACTGCGGTGTGGCGTAATTGAGTAATGCATGGTAAGATTTCTTTGAAACACTTTTTTTGTTCGGTACTCATGCAACCGCTAGGCAGAATGTCCAAATGCTTCTTAATGACACGTACCCAGTTTGTGAGCTCGACCGCAGCTGCACAAGTCCAGCCATACTTTTCAAGCAATGAAGGAAGCCACCTCTTCATAAATCGGAAGCATACTTCTTCAAGGATTTGCTGGGATAGCGACAGTACATAATGTTGAACATTGTAGGGAAATGCAGATGGTCGCGAAGTTACGTCAAAGGTTCTATTTCCTTGGCTGTTGATAACAGAAATTCCTACATGCGAGCATGTGAGATGCTACCTATCGGACAAGAGAATAGTTAAAGTACATACCGGCTGTGGTCCCAGGACTCGATTTGTCGATAGTCTTAGTTTCCATCACTCGTCCGACATCGATTGACCTTCTAGGAGATACCTTGCGTTTCTTCGAGATGTTTCCGGTTGGTATTTCCGAGGATTGTCCTGTGATGAGGTCTGGAAAGTGCTTGCTTGCCATCTCCTCAGATTGGAACACGCCATCCTCAAGAAGAGACTTGAGGATAGAAACGACGTTGTTGATATGCGCGTCACCAGCAGACGCTTTTGAGTCAGGTAGGTTTTTTAGGAGGATTTTGCGTATAGCCTTTCTCTTTCGCACATTCTTACCAGTAAAGAGCTCACGATACTTTAAGAATACCTGTCGACGAGTAGCAGGCGCTTGAGCATCCATCTGGCTCCGAAGTATGGCGAATGCCGTATGAGTTATGATCTTGGAATAAGAATTCCCTCTTAATCCTGGCTTGGTATGGCCCCCCGCTTGCGTGTTCTTGTCTAAAGTGTCGTGCGCTGTCATCCATCGTTGACGATGCTAGCGATGCGGGCAACGCGCTGGTCGATCAGCAGTCTTGGCGGTGCCCCACTCCACGGCGCGTGGTACGTGTTGCGAAAGATAATCACACCACCATGCAGCAACTCCAACGCTCGCAAGGATAACATTTCTCCAAAAACGAGCTGCGCAATGAACCCTAGAATCAGTTAACACATTCTTGAATCACAACAAAACACCGTTTCTAAAAATATCAGGAGTTGTTGACCAAGTAGTATAGTAGAAAGAAAACTTGTATATTATTATTCCATTATAGTCCTGTACCAGCCGTTGGCTATGTAGGACTTTGGCTGAAGGCCGTTCTATCTACTTATTTACAATTTGGTACTTTGCGTTGTGTATGTAGCGTGACTGTGGTGCTTCGGCCTTTGAAAACTTGTATAAAATTGGCGATGTCTTTCACAATTCTATAATTCGACTTAGTCTACAATGTCCTTCCAAGTGCCTTTACACCTAATCATATCCTCTTTTCTGCCTTGCAGTGCCCACATCATATTGCTTGCGAGATGGACGTTCTCATCACCAGGCATCCTAGCACCCGCTCAGCATAAGCATGTGGCACATCCACCCTTTGGCATTCCCCCTAAAAACATAACTGTTTGAGATCGTCTTGGTGTAGAGATGTGACGGGTGTCTAGATCGTCGATAACTGCTACTATGTGTCAGCAGCGGGTATCATCGAGAGATTATCACAGCAATACTCATACTTAGTTGCGCCTGATCCTCCCATACAGACTGTCCATATATTCTGCCTGTGCGTGATGATGGTTCAATGTTGTCAGGCGCCTTTGAACGTATGACATAATCCGTAATGAAAAGATGCACCTAGATTGCGGCTGTGCAATCGCGTTTTTCGTGTACAGAGAAATGCAATTATGTCGCAACCATGCATGACGATCCTGTACCCGCCTGCGCCTCTGGATTCGACCCCTCTCTGCCTGCACCTACTTCATCTACGAGCCTACTATTCGCTATCGTGTGAGCGCGTCGCGCCCCTTCCAGCTATTTGTCAACACAGCAAAACAGCACCTGTGACAAGATGACGAACCACCAGAGCACTCAACGCTCTCCAGCCCATAGTGAGCATTGTGCCTCCATCCTCGAGGCCAACGTTATTCGTCGTTGTGAAAGCGTTCCGCTCCACGCTATCAAAACCTCGGCCAATTCCCTCCATTCATGGCTCAGCGCATATTCGCTACGTGTCGGTCTCATCACGACCCAATCGAAGTCGGACACATAGCTTGCCAGGCATAAATCGGTAGAGGGTACAGCGCTACTGAGGGCTACATACGTTGGGCTGGAAGCTTTGAAGACAAGCATAATCCTGCCTAATGCGAGATGACCCCGCACTTCTCAGCCCATACATCCGTGGGCATCTTACTGTGATATATGTGGCTGACTGCATCAGGGCAGTGACGAGGAATGATGATGAGGCCTCGTCATTGATTAGTAGGAGTAGATGACCAGATGACGCCTGCCAGGGAAGGCGTAATCGACATCTTCACTGCTGGTTCCGCCGCGAAGGACTCCACAACTACTGGCTATCCATCCGAAAAGACTTCGCAAATGGCCCTACCGAACCGACTAACTCTATTCGTCGTTTGGCATTGATGGGATACAGTCGCTACGTACATCCTGTTAGGTATCAACGCATAGGTGCAGCCAATCCTCGGGTCGGTGGTGTCGCACGGCAGGCACGCCATGAATCGACGTGATCTGATCATCCCAACCTCTCCAATTCATTTCTATAGTGTTTGAAATGTTTACTTCTATTAGGTCAATCCAAACTCCCGTCGACATCAACGAATAGATATGGATTCAGCCTCGGGCTCTCCCTCGCAACGCGTTCAGTACAAGCCTCTGGACGCTTCCCGAAACGAGATTCGAGTATTGTCCTTCGAGCCTCCCTCGACACCCGACGACTTGAGTGGTCGCCTAGATCGCATTCTAGGTCTACGTCTCGGTCCCTTGCGCCTTACACTTGAGCACGTATCTTTGGACGACTTTAACCCAGAATGTACAGTATTTCGTACCGCACACCTTACACAATGGAGCAGGAGCCAGGTTGACGATGCCTGGTGCAAGCAGTTTAAATCCTCAGACGTGTTCCGCACTATGGCTAGGTTCACATGGGGTGACTACACCGCAATCAGTTACATGTGGGGAAGTCCAGAAGATACGAAGACAATCACCATCAACGGGGTGCCCGTCACTGTTAGGGAGAACCTGGCTGCTGCTTTGGATCGCCTTCGGTCTTCCCGCGTGGACAAGGTCTGGATCGATGCCATTTGCATCAATCAGGACGACATCGACGAGCGCAATGCTCAGATACTCAGGATAAGAGATATCTTCAGCCATTCGCTAGCAGTAACGGTATGGCTCGGAGAAGATGAAATGATTGGTACAGGCCTGGACTCATGGGTTGAGACTTCATTTGATAACCTTCGCCTTTGCAACACAGTTTTGGAGGCCCACGGCAGGCAAACATTGGAAGCAGCTTTGGGGATCGACGTGAAGGCATGGGAGTCCGATCATGACTATGACGAGCTAGACGGATTACCTTTATCAGGGGATGTCTTATATTTTGACAATGAGTGTTGGGCCGACTCAGATGACGAGGATGAATTTGGGCCATCGCATTTTCGCGATCTTGTCGCTATGGCACTCTTTTACCTCTGTGGGAATCCATACTGGACTCGCCTGTGGGTAATTCAGGAACTAGCCGTCAGCCCGATCCGTTCGACCCTCCACTGGGGCGATTCAAGCGTGCCCCTTCGGGTAGTTTTAGCGCTTGCGGATATCTCTTGTAACAAGATTTTCGACGGCAGCATCTTAGATTCTCGCGCAGAGACTAGGATTTCGCCTTGTCTGCAACTACTGAAATCCATTGGGCAGTGGCAGAAGTCGGGGATCTTGTCTGATAAGGAAGACGGGCTGAAGGGCACGGCAGTGGACGACTTGCGTCGCTTGGCAGGATCTGCACAGTGTACTCTCCCCCACGACAAGGTATTCGGATTACTAGGCTTGTTGCCTCAAGCCATATCTAGCAAGATCACGATTGACTATAAACGGGACGAAGCGGAACTTTCGTCTGAGTTCACCGTGGCAATTTTCATTGCAAATGAGAATAATAGGAGCTTGGAGGGAGCAGGAAACGTAACGGGACAGAGCACCATGTTCGATTCCATATACGCCTTGCAGGATGTTCCAGGGAGAGGGAAAGGTCTCGTTGCAAGGGAGAGGGAAAGGTCTCGTTGCAAGGGAGAAGATCTCTAAGGGTACGCGAATTCTCTCTGAAGAGGCTATCATTACGGCCAGTGAATCGGTCGACAGCGAGCGGCTTCGAACATCCATCTGCAAGCAAGTTGAAGCCCTTAGCGAAAACCAGCGGCGAGACTTCCTATCCATGCACAATATCCACCCATACAGTAATGCTGCTGAGCAGTATCACGGGATTTTTCGAACAAACTCCCTACCTGCCGAAGACGTTGGAGATCAAGGGGCGATCTTCCTAGAAGCATGTCGCATTAACCACGCTTGCGATAATAATGCACAGAAGAACTGGAATGAAAATATCAAACGACACACCGTGCATGCTCTAAGAGACATCAACAAAGGCGAAGAGATCACGATAACCTACTTAGGCCCTCTCAAGAACCGTAAAGCCCGGCAGGAGGCTCTTCAGGAAAAGTTTGACTTTACATGTTCGTGCCATCTCTGCTGCTTGCCGCCAGAGCAGAGCCAGGAGAGCGATAGGAGATTAAAGGAGATCCACCACTTAGACGGTGTCATCGACCAGCTCGGCACAGATGGAGTTTTGGTATCCCCACTCCGGACCCTCCGCTACTTTGATCAACAGGTACATCTCTATGAGAAGCAAGGACGAGAGGATATTGGTCTTGCGCAGGCCTTTGTCAATGCTGCGCAGCTCGTTATCGCCAATAGCGACTTGGCAAGGGGACGCGTCTTCGCGGAGAAGGCGACGTCTGTTTGGAAGATAATCCTTGGCGGTGACAGCACGCAAGCTATCAAGCACAGAGCTCTAGCACAGGATCCCTCTAAGTACGAGCTATTCGGAATCTCAACGAAGTGGAAGACGAAAGTAAGTCAAATCCCACAAGGACTCGAACCGAGCGACTTCGAAGACTGGCTTTGGAGGAGGGAGCAGCCAAAAGCCCTAGGACAGCTAGCGAATCTGCGGAGCCGTGCGACATTCCCCAGCTTCACTGAGCTCCCAGACGAGAACGGCGTCGACCCGGAGTTTTATGAGAAAAGCAATATAGGTACATACCGACCGCGACGCCATTGGTGCTTCTTTGGTGAGATTGTGGATTTCGCTTCGCTACTTCGTCTACAGATGGAGATCAAGGATGTTGACGGTACGATAATTCCGCTATACTTCTATACCGATAGCCGAGGCAGTGAATTAGTACCAGGACAGGTTCAAAAGGGGTACACGGTCGCCATTCTCTACGCAGAGCGCCACGCATTTATGTTCTGTGAGCCCGGTATCCGCCATGAGGATCCCCAGACGATCAAGGTACTTCAAAATTGCTAATCTACAGCTTGGTTCACGTGCGCTAACCGAACGGGACGTCGTGTAGATCTTTCCACTGTCTCTGGATAAGCTGCTGGCGTTGAACGACCAGGTCCAGCAGTCCTCTATAGAGATTAATGGTATGAGAATATGTCACGGGTGCGGAAAGAAGGCAGCCTCTCTGCAACGGTGCAGCAAGTGCTCGTCTTTCTGGTATTGCAATAGGGTAAGACTGCCATTGAAAATCTTCCTCGTATTATGTTAACCTTGATGCTAATACGGGTATGATAAGACCTGCCAAGTAGCTGGCTGGAACGAGAAAGGTCACAAGGCTGATTGTAAGCTACTTAAAGATCCTGATTTGCGAGGATTGTTTGTTCTTAAATGGGACGAGTTTGAAAACCATATTCGATTTCCTCTCCAAGTTGCGAAGGGGTCCTAAAATAGTCTGCTTTCCGTCGCTTAGCAGAGAGCTTGACGAGAATTCGGGTCAACTTCATCTAACTGACAATATTCATAACTTTGGTCTGGACTATTTCCCTTTTGTGAAAATACTAGTTATTTATCTGATTGTAGGTATTTAGGTTGCCTACTATTTATTATTCTTCCTCCCTTGTTCTCCTGAGACAAGATTTTCTCTCCTATATGTTTAGAAAGGCGCTTCTCAGTATCTTCCGGTAGTTAGTGTGTTCTTTGGGTGAGGATAAGCAGTTTGCCATGGCTATTTTTGGTGTAATAAAGCAAAACAGAAAAACTGGACAAAGACACCGAGTGCTACGCCACAGATGGCCTCTATATACAGCCTTTATAACCCTTATTTTACCTACGTAAGACTTCTGCGTTTGAGACAATGTATGTCTTCAACCACTGTGCTATCTTGCTTGCTTCTCTGTGCATTGAATAACAGGACACATCCTCGATGTCTTCCTTTGAGGGGCTACATCAGCAGAAGGAAACCATATGCGTAAGGCCGTCGTAAGCAGCGTGATATAGGTCAGGATCATCTCTCGTGCTCCTATATAAGACTGCTTAGGAACAGACCGCCTTTGCGTTCTCGACGTCGGTATTGGTACCCGTGATCGCCATTTGGAAGCAGTAAGTGCTCTCGTTCTTGATAGCTATGACTTTAATTTCAGAGTCTCCTTGTTCCGGTTCTTCAATATAGGCAGTGTAGTTTTGGTTGGTCTCATGCGAGAGCTCAAGAACACACTGAACTATCAGGCCGTGCAGGCTGTTTCAAGTTATTCTCCCAGAAAGACACCTAGAATGATATTTAACATACCTCGGCATCGCGTAGCAGAACAACTGGCTGTAAATTTCCGCGGTCAACCTCCAGGGGCGCAAATGTTAGGTTTAAAGCCAATGTGGCTCAGCAAGCCAATACAAGTACTAAAATAGAGAGCAAGTACATCGCTATAGTGGAGAGATCCCTATGGAAGCACAGCTCATATATCTGTCTAAACAAGAAAACGAGAATCGTCTCACAAGGTTGCGGAAAGAGTGTCAACACATAGTTAGCAAACACAACAAGAATGCAGCTAATTAACCGTGCGTTGAGGAAGCACACAACACGGCTACCAACACTAGCGATATTTCGATTTAACAACTCACGCCACTTGTGAAAAACTAAATCGCTATGTCAAGTCGTAGATTATCTTCATAATTCAAGACGACAATTTAAGTGCTAGCAGCAATTATAAGAATGTCTAGGGGACACAGTTCCATGAATCTCTTGAGCATGTCGTTGCAAGTGCTTCTTATCTGCCAAGGGCACCATACAAAGCTGACAGCTAAGATCCCTCCCACTCTGGATGTTTTTCAAGTGCTTGCGTCCAAAATGCTTGCTGAGATCGCCTGGGGTGCTGAAAGCATATATGCGCTGTGCCAGCGGCAACCCCTCGTTCCCTAGGCAAAGGAAACATACTCTTGGCCTTTTTTCCTTGTACACAGAGATTTTGGCTGACTCTAATGCATTTTTCTCGTATCCTGGTTGGCTCTTGGCGGGTAGGACAGCGTTCCTGCTTCGCCTCCCTTGTCGGATAGGGTTCATCCCCCCCTCTTCAATACCACAATATAGGGTGACCGCATGGATAGCGCAATCACGCCTGGCGACCTCTTCTTCTATAGTGGGTCCTGGTTTTGACAAGACTGAGTCGCATAACTTCCCTTGGGCTGGGAGCATAACGTCGTGAACCAGCTCCAGATCATCATTAGTTTCTAACCCCGCAAGCTGCTGCTCGACATCGCGAACAGGCTGCTCAAACTCCCACTTTTCTTTAACATCCTTGAGAAGGGCATGCCGCCGACGCTGCCTCTCCTGGTTAATCTTGGAGGTGAGCTCTTTGTATTTGGGATATTTCGTTGCATTACGAACGGTACGTTTAAGGTGTTCTCGTTGGTTGAGAAGAGAGCAGATAGAAGGATCATCGTCTACAGATGCAGACTGCTCCTCAGTAAGTCTTCGTGGCCGACGACGATCAACGGAGCGGCTTAGAGTACAAGCCGACCGCATGAGAGCTGCTTGTGGCTGGATGCCTCTTACAACAGCCTGAGTATCAACTGTAATACGTCGTGAGAGATAATGCTTCAAAAATGTCGTGATGCTGGCATGGCCCATCATCAGATTCTGCATGGCCTCACTGACATTGCCTGCACGCTACGTTAACTCCACATCCTGCATTATGGAGTTTAGATTGAAGAGATGTACTTACCGTTCTCATTGAACGCCTTCCCTCCGGCGTATCTCAGCGAATAAGGACGGGTGACTTGGGCGAATCCCGTGATCTCACCCAAAGTCCGGATCCATGGAAGCAGAGTGGAGTAAGGAAGAGGTTCGTTAGGAGAGATTTCCCAACCACTTGAAGTCTGCACTGCTTTCCGAAACACTGGGATATTGTCCAACGTCCGATTCAGGCGTAGAGGGAGCTCATTGCGACCTAGCGGGATCTTGAGTCTGCTCAGTTCCTCTGGCGAAGTTAGATTGTAGGCTGCAAACGCCCGATCGTAGAAGAGCAGCCCAAGGAGGAAGACGTGAGGACTGAAGAGGAGTGTCTGATCGTACATAATCTCAGGAAGAGGAAAAGTGTTCCTTAAGGAAAATTTAATCAGCGCATAGCTTTCCTGTATATAATGATAACATACAGGTCTTTGATACCAAGAAACTCATTTGTAAATTCAAAAGTGAACTCTAGGAGCACTCGATGAGGGCCGCCCTCAGGATCACGTAGAAGCGTAACTTGTATATGGCGATAGCAGAGATTAAGGAGGGCCTGGGGCCGATTCGCTGTAAACCCGCCAAGTTGTAGGTAGAGCTGGGCTTGTATCCTATAGCGACCGTGAGGATATCTCTTTTCGGTTGTTACCAGATTCGTTTGCAGTACTCGAGCCAGATCCTCGACATACATGCAGGCTTTATCCCGACCGATCTTTTTTAGATCGTGCTTCTTTGCTAGCTTCCGAAGTACCTATTATTTATGTTAGACATATATGCTTATGTGAGACTATAATTAGAAATCTAGATTAATATACCTTGTGCATGCTCCGATTCATCTTTCCGTCTAGTTTCACACCAGTTGCTCTTTCATACACAAGCCGGAAGACCTTCCAATACGTTCCTAGCGAGCTGGAGAACTTGGTTCCTCGGCGTTTCCTCCCACCTTTGCCCTGGCGCTGGCTAAGTAGCCAGTCAAAAAATGTGTACAAAGTGCTAACCGATACGGTTGCGTAAGCACGATAATGGTCTTTCTTGAGGTACGTCCAGCACCTATGCTAGGTCAGTCAATGAGATCTAGCGCAAGCTCCAGGGGAGTAGGAGACCTACTGATTCCACTGATCTTCCATACGATTGAGCAAGCGAGTACTGCTGTCCTTGTAGTCTTCTTTAACGTATTCTTGTTCGTTGAAGTTCTCCAGTTGTTGAAGGTAGTATTCAGGCGGATGATCGTCGTTAGGGAAGGACCATGCTTCACTTTTTTTATTTTTGTCGGCAATTTCGTCTACGTCTGTCAGATCCGTATCCAGCTCTACACTGTGGTCTGTGTCGGATGCAGAGTAATCGCTGTTGTTAGAATAACTTTGAACGGATGAGTGTTGTCGCATGTCGTACGGTATATGTAAAAGAGAAGCGTGGGAGAGAGGTAAAGCAAGTACACGCAAAGCTGATAGAAGCAGAGTATGCGCCTATAGTTGGGTGTCTAAGGCTAAGTGTGAAGAGAAACAAGAGTAACACAACGAGACTTTAAGTTTGAAAGAGAATGAAGGCTACAAAGAAGACAAGAAAAGGAAAATAAGGTCTGGTTTGTATTGCTGTAAACGGGGAGAAGAGGGCCTTTAGTACTCCATCAGTAGTACGATTTCGAATCTGGTTAGCATTCACTTATAGTTTTCAAGAAAATGAGTCAGGTCGCAGGCATGCTGCAGCATTCCTAACCATAAAATAAATTAGCTTTTACACTAATTCAACGCCTGGGCTAGCTAAGGTAGGAAATCCGAAGAAGTTTCCACTTTGGCCACTGCCCGCACAATTAGGGGGGTTTTGTGGCAAGTCAGCATCCATAAACGGCGTTGCAAGCTACCAAAATTAGTAGCGAAATTGCCGTCGGATTGTTTAAGATAGTAAAACTTAGATATAGCTAATAAAGAAGGCCTTCTATTAAAATATTCTTTATATCTAAACTATTTTTAATAACTAGAGTCTTTTCTAAGTAGCTTTTAGAGTCTTACTAATATATTTTATATAATACTTTATTTAGCTCTAAATTTTATTACTTAATAGAGTCTACTATCTTTATTTCTTTATCTAAATACTACTTATTATCTAAAAACTATACTCTCTTTTCTTTCTCTTTACTTATTACTTTTAAAAAGATTATAGCTAGCTTAGATATTAAGAGTAGATTAAACTACTAAACTTTTTATACTTTTTAATTTAGTATTACTTAAGCTATTATTATATAAAAACTATAAGTTACTATTACTATAAAATTATTCTCTAAAAAAGTAGTTATTACTACTTATTATTAAGTAGTCTTTAACTACGTAATTAGAATTATATTAGAGTCTTAGAATACTATCTAAAATCTATCTAGCTATTTAGTATTCTAGCTTAATTAGTTAATAATTAGCTTTTATTTAGTCTATATTATATTCTATATATCTATATTAGTATAGTATTTAAATAGTTTTAGATCTTCTTAGAGTTTCTTTAAAATAACTTTAGCTCTTATAGCTTTACTACTTTTTATTATAAAAATAGTAGACTTTTAATTTAAAAGCTATCTATTTTTTAGTAAGTATTTACTACTTTCTTTAGAGATTACTCTTACTTTCTAACTATACTTATACTTAGCTCTATATAGTATAGTTTACTAACTTTTAAAATACTCTTAAGAAATTTTATAGTTAACTAAAGTATAATTATTTATTTTTCTAAGATAGTACTAG